AAATCCTTTCAATAAATATCCACCCTAATAATAGATAATTTCTGAGCCCCCGGATTATTTACTATTAGGGGGGGGGGGTGGGGGCGTCGTTTATTAATAGGGGTAAGCGATTAGTAATCATATCAGCATCTCTAGGTATTCCCCCGGTGCCACTGTGTAATCCTAACATCTGTAAACCTGAGGAGAGAAGGCCAGGTTCCCCACTAACCCCTTAACATCAAGGATACACCCATATAAAAAGGGGAAAAGTGTAAAACTGGGGTACCTAACCCTAAACCCTATGTCCCTATGGTTCCATCCCACGCAGTCCTCCCCGTGGAGCAGCAATGGCTCGCTTGGGCAGCGCGACGAGGAGGGGATGCAATCAAAGCGAAGACCTTCGCGTGTAGAGCCCCATGATTTAGGGTATAGGGTTTAAGGAGTTAAGTAGGGATTACATTGGGACTTTATGGGGTTTACGTAGCGATATTACCCAATAAAGCAGGATCAGATGGAAAACTAAAATGACAACGAAATGAACGCTACTGCATTATTTGGGGTTTAGATAGGTTCAGCATATAGGGAGGCCTTCCCTTCGGGGCACTGGGCATCAGGGGTTCATGGGGTCCTTGCTATAGCTTATATAGACATGAATCTCGGGGGGGTACCGTGGCAGTCTTTGTTACGGGCTTCCTTGAAGGAATGCTCCACAGTACCTTGCCTCATGAGATTTAGGGTTTTGGGTTTAGGGGTTTGGGGGGGGAGGAATGACAAGTTGCCACTGGCATGTTGGCGAAGCACATTACCAAACTCACAGGCGAAGAAATTTGGAGCAGGATATGTTTGCTTGACACGCTGATCACTTCGGGAGGCTTGAGCACATCAGCCAAAGGTAAATAACAGCAATAGTAATAGTAACTATACTGGGAATAGGAAAAGTAATAATACTAGAATTAATAATAGTAACAATAATAATAGCAATGATAGAACTAATAATAATACCACTAATAATTGAGTCTCCCTAAGCCCTAAGCATGGCCATGGACATCCACAAATCTCACGAATACAGCAAAGGAAGACCCTCCCTTGCAAAGTGTTAGACATGCGGGCCCTCGAACATCAGAAGTTGCGTTTACGCACCTCCTCCCAGGCCGCTGGAACGAACGTAGCCCATCAACCTGAACTGTGAGTTTTCAACACTTGCTGGTTTTTAGCAGGGAATGAAGGTATATGGGCAACAGCGGCCGTAACAAGAGAGTAATAATTGACTGCTATACGGACGCGTTCCTTCCTTTGCTCTTAGTGACCAGTAAGAAAGCATGGGAGATGTCTTCCGCATACCTTTGGGTCTCTTCATGTTAAAAGAGGGTAGCTTGGGATATCAGGGTATACTGTAAGGAAAGCCTAAAGAACACAGTTCAGATGGCTGAACATTTTGGCCCCCCGAAAATTCACATTACAAGCCCTAAGCCTAAACCCCAAACCGATAGTCGAGCGGCATGTTGAAGAACCGCCCCTGGCCATTTTGACCTTTGCCAGGGCGCAGGAGCTGTTCGATACTTGCTGGTGGTTCGTAGGGAATGAAGTATTATAGACCATACGCCCCAACTCTAAGAAGGGACTACTGTAGGGATCCGGTCCTCCACAGCCTACATAACCACCCGTGCGAACACTGTTGCCGTTGCTGCAACCCACGTTGCCGTTACCCACGCTAGGCTGGGAAGCGCGCAGGCAAAGATTCCATGAACCTTGGCAAGAACAAAGACCATCTGTTGGCACTTTCAGATGTGCCTCTGCGCTTGGGTGATGAGGAGGCATCTTCCACGACCATCCCAGTGCCGTCCAATTGAGGGGTGATGAAAACCCCCCATTTAAATGACCCTTAATCCTGCTA